TTTCAATTGCAACAGCGTAGTTAGTACTATGTATACCTATGTAAGGTATGTAAGGTATGTGTTTTCCTTCTTTGTTTAAAGGTACCTAGAGGTAGGTTTGTAAATATATCCTTGAATCTCAAAATTGCATCCTTTACGGAAAACTTCAATTAAACAATATTCGATCCATTTATAGCGCCCTTCCGAAAAACTGGCACGCCTATCTCTCACCAGACGGCCAAGAAGCATTTCATCGCCAAGTCGCCGATGAGAAGCTTCAGATAAAATTTGATGATATGCCGCACAGAACTGGCTGCCAGGTTCCCGAACGCCATCCGAATTCAAATAGGTATCGAGTTCCCAAGCCCAAACCCAGTATTCCTTTAACCCCTAATCCAACACGGTCCGTCTAATACCTTTGTTTTCCTTCCCGTCTTAAAATTAACCAACTTTTCCACACTTCACTCCCATCCCTTAAACCCTTTTCCTTCTTCGCCCACTTAGTCGGAACTACCATGGCTTCGCCGTCTTCGTCCGCTGCGCAGCTCTCTTTCCGTGTCCATTAATCGCGTCTGCACCCAAGTTCTCATTTCTTGGTCCTTCCGCACCGTCTCGCAGTTAAGCAGCTCCGTCAGAGCCCTCTTGAGGCCCTCGTTCACATCGAAGAGCTTCTGTTCTCCTGCCGCCATCTCCTCGATCAACGATTCGTCTAGCACCGGTTCTAGCTGGGTCTGCGAGCCTCGGTATCCCGAGCTCCTAATAGAGGATAATGATGATCTTCGATGGTTCCGTGAGGGCGAAGAAGAGAGCTTGAGGGATGGGCTACCACTGAATGACCTGGTGGGTGAGACTGAAGGCGAAGTAACTGCAGTAGAAGACGTCGTATATGAAGGACAGAGATCGTGCATATGTTGCCGAATCTCTTCGTGTTGGTTCTGTAATAAGAGGTACTTATGCATAGCGAAGTCGATATTGTGATACGAAACCGAATCGGGTCCCGATTCCATCGGCTCATCTGTGTAATGCATGTTGACGTCGCGATAGAACATGTTCAATCCGTATTATGTGTCTAACGGCGAGCTGCATTGAATTGAAGGTGTGTCCAAGTTGGCGGGAATGGGGAAATGGAGGAATGGAACACGAGTCGAGCTGTCGAGTTACCAATCGATCGGCGGTGGGATAGTGCCGGATGTAAGTGGACTTGGTGGATTTTCGTCTCGGAGTGTGAACAACGGACCAGCTTCCGTCTAAGTGTACTGGCGTCCTGTCGATCTGACGATCACAATTGTAACGTCGTCTCCTTTAACAGACGATAACACAAGTGTTCGAGTTTCTAGGAAAGGAATGCGGGATAATCGGTGTGAAATACAACGTTCCTAAATGAGGTTGAAATGTAGGGAACAATTGGGCTGATGCTGTCGGGTTTATAAACCAAGACAGGGGGGAGAAGGCCTTTAGATTATTATATTTCCCGGGTTGCTGCAATTTCTGGGAGACAGCCTTTAGACCGGGGTTCGACACCAAAAATTTCCGTGCAGATATCAGGAAATGACGTGAAGTGGTCCTCAGGACACACCAAGGTTGGCGCCGCCAGAAATATAGCCGATGAATTGAGTTTGCCGATCTGGTCTCCGGCTCGTTGTTAGGCAATTTAGAAATGCTGTAAGTCACCAAGATTGCTCGAGTATTCGTGTTGCCGGTGGAACCTTGGGGAAACTGTCGGGAGCACCCGATTTCGTATGGCGAATACCTCCTAATGTATGTATGGATGTGTAGAGGTGTGGATGTGTGGGGTCGAAAAAGATGCGGTTTTATGTAGTGTAATGTATGTAGATAGCACCAGACTTGCTTGGGTAGCTCTAGGAGCATTAAAGGGGATAGTGGAAATCTAGCTCAGAAATCTTCAAAGGCTAATGAGGGATGACTGGCTTGCAGATATTGTAGATAAGACGTAATAGAAAAATAAGCACTACCTATCGACAGAAGCACACGAACGCCTATTACAACCTCGTCGAGGCGAGTACAAAGGATGAGTGGCGTAGACGATCGCGAGGCGCATCAAGGTCGCCAATATAGCGATTAATAAAATATTTTTCCAAATTTAGGAGGGTGGAGGTTAGGAGTTGGAGGAAAAGCGGTGTTTAGCTCAGAAACCGTTGGTCTTCCCGTTGCTGGACTAGACTCGGCCGTGTTTGTAGCAAGTTTACTACTGCGGTAAAGTGGACAAAAAAAAGCTGAAGCTCCCCGTTTGCAAATGGTAGGGGCTCGACGACGTGATTGCAGGTAAATTATTGGGGCCAACAGGGTCGAGGCTTGGTTAGGCGTCGGAACCATCCAACCAAACTAAACGATGGCGTCGATATTTCAAAGGTTGATGTCAATATTATACAACTCAGCAGCTGTAAAAGCGGTGCTACCAGCAGGGTAGGATAAGCTAGGTAGGTACCTAAGGTATGTATGTAGGTATGTATGCGATGCTGACCTGTCACTTATTATGTTGCTCAAACGCTTCAAGGTAACTGAGCGAGTAAAGGACCTTTGAGCTCCTTTTAGGTATTAGCGAGTTTGCCGAGGATATATGAGTAAGATTATCCGGGCAGACGCAGCTATATACATAGAAAGCGCCATTACAACTAGTTAGACCATTGAAGATATAGATTTCCAGAAGAGGCAAAACAGAAAGATGGCTGTAGTGGTTCACGTTTAACGAATAGCAATACAACACCTGATAGTGGCGCGCTTCGTCCGGTATTTAGAGCTTAAGTATCTCGATGCCGTGAGAAGAGCTAGAAGAGCTAGAAGAGCTCCGGTAGGTGAAGGCAAAGTGCATATGAAGCTGTGCCAGTTAAGCTCTTTCTTATTGATTGAAATCCAGGAGGTGGTACGGTGCCTTGTCTGCTTGTACCTACCTATCTCTGGAGAAGGTGTGGAGAAGTATTATAGGCAAGGATAATACCTTGTAATGCAGTTAGTATATACCTATGTATTATGTAGGGATGATGGGGATGATCTGTAACGATATGTGCATCTCACACAGTGTTGCTAAAGACTACTAATAGCACTGCCTATCACTAATCTGCTTCAGCACGGTCCAATAGAGACATAGGATAATTGCACGACGCTCCTTAATTACATAGATACCAAGTACCGTTCTCTCTCAACTGAGTCGGAGGTTGTTAAACCACTTACATGATAATGGAAGCTCTTTACGTTTCTACTGATATCAGGAGTCTCTCCATTTGGTTCCTTTAAGAAAACATTTAAATTCCACCTCTCATTTGTACAAATTGGCCAATAGGAATAAACTACACGCATTTACAAACAAAGGATTAGTGTACAATGACGTTAATGATGAGGGAATGACGTCCACAAGAGGTTCAAAATAGGACACACTCTAAAATACCTAACGGTTAGGCAAGTTACCGTGGTACACTTATCTTCTCTTACATAGCACTGTATCATACCTAGTGTCCGCTTGACCTGGAAGTATCCGAGGTCAATAAGTGCCTCGTTTTTGCATCAGCCCAACCTGTGGCTTCGCATAGCCTAATCCTCATTCGACACCCAAAGGTCCAGAACAACACACACGCTGCCATATTAGCGAGACTATCACGTTGCCGGAGTCGGGGCTAGTCGGAAAAGCAGTTTAAATTGTGTAATAGATATGGACCGGCAACCATGTGGGTTAATATTCTAGAGATATTCGATGATGATTCAACGTCGTTTCGAGGTCGGGAATCGGGATCCGTAGAGCCCTCGCAAAGGGTGACGAAATATCAGGGTGTGCCAATTTTTAGAGCTCCCAAGAAGGTTTTATCGAAACACTTACGAGCCACTCGTCGCCCATGTCCGATCGCTTTTACCTGTCATTCATACAGGAGGAATACGTATGTACTTTCGATATATTACTCCCTCCTAGTAGTGCCCCCGAAATTCGACATGTCTATTTCATGAAGTTCTAGAGCGCGAACCTGCAAGCGCTCGTTGGGCTAGATGATAACTTGGCATGAGATATCCACCTTGTCGGTAGTTGACGCTCTTAGTCTTTACAATGCCGGCAGATTTGATCGGAAGATGTAAGATAGGGATCATATTCTCGTCGTATTTATGATAGTGTATAGTACTTAATCTATGAGTTATACAGAGGCAACATGACTTCAGATCGTCTTATCACGTAGTTCTACCCACATTCAGCGGACAAGAAGCTCCGAAAGGCCGTTGTGTGCCACATTATCGGAGCCGTCTGGCGAAGACGGCTCAACCGGCATCAATCAGACAGTTGAATAATTGGAACTCAAGGATCGACATGATCCATGAAATAGCATGTCGTCAATGTACGCCCCCCCCCCCCCCCCAAGTTCATTCTGTCTATCCGCTAAAAGCGAGGATGCCGTTCCAAGAGGGCGGAATCAGCTCAGCTCAGCTGTACCTGCAGAACATTTTATGTCGATCCAAGTCCGAAGTTAGTACTACACAGCCAGACTTGGAAAAGAAGCACAAATGCTACTTGATAACTAACAAAGCGACCTATACGTTACATAGGTACGTATATACCTAACTTCTAAATGCGCAGGTGAAAGAGGGGGATGTGGGATCATTTCTCGTGTAAACATATCTTACGAGCATAGGAGACATGTATACCTACCACGGTATCCCCAGGATTTACCCCAGTCTTACCCCAGAGATTCGTGGCATAGAGCCTGTCACCAATTGTGTAATGCCATGACTTCATCGTCTAGGTCCACCGTAAGTCTGGCGAGCCATGTCCATGTATGGTTCTTCGGATCATTGCCGGTGGCCAGTTTACGGGACCTCCTATTCCGCCTAGTTCTGCCAATGATCGGGCGGATCCGATGTATCACTTAAGGCTAATATATTCCGTTTCCCCTTTTTGAGTTTATAACTTTATATACGCCTACCCATACATTAGGTACATAATAAGGCGGCGCTTTAAAGTTACTTCTCTATTGCTTAAAAGTTACCTATATAAAAAATTGATAATCATTAACTAATGAAATAATATCGATCTAAGCAAACTCAAGTATCGAAGTCAAAGCTCCAGGAACAACTTTTTGCCCTTGCCGAGAGACAATTATATAAAAGCTGTTAACTAGAGCATTACGAATTTTTTTAATCTCTAACCAGACTACCTAGTTATGACAGACCTAGATTTCTAATACATAATTCGTAAAATATGACAGATAATAAACCTATGGCCGGCTAACTTCGGGCGAAAAGAACTACCCCGCAATCCGATATCGTGATTTATGTCCTCTTACACATAGTTAACATCAAGGTTTATGTATTATCGTAATATTTTCTACATAGTATTCAAGTCCTAGCTATGGCGAACCAACTTCCATCCAATATATTAATCATTGGGGCAACAGGTACTATTGGTAAATACATTACCGAGGCTATACTCTCAGCCGACCCCCATGTTGGTCGTCAAGTTTCCATCTTCACGTCGCCCGCCACAGCATCCAGTCCAGACAAGGAGGCCATACTATCATCATGGAAGTCTCGGGGGTTATCAGTCATCACAGGCGATCTTAGCAACGCTGATGATGTTCGAAACGCCTACAATGACATAGATACAGTTGTCTCGTGCTTGGGAAGAAATGCACTAGCTAGTCAAATTGAACTGCTAAAGCTTGCGGAAGAGAGCAACGTGCAGTGGTTTTTCCCTAGCGAATATGGCACGGATATCGAATACGATGCTTCTAGTAAAAATGAAAAGCCGCACCAGAACAAGCTCAGAGTACGAGAATTCATCCGTGAGAATCTGAAGAAGGTTAAGTGCACTTATGTTGTAACTGGTCCGTATATCGAGATGTATTTGGTACTTGCGCCAGTAGCCAAAGAGGCCGGAGGTTACGATGCCAAGTCGAAGAAGGCTGTGGTCATTGGAAGCGGAGACGGCAAGGTTGGCTTCACAAGCATGCCCGAGTAAGCTTCTTCGATTCATACAAAGCAGCAGTAACTATTCAGCTCTAACATGGTGTAGCGTTGGTAAGCTAGTGGTTGCAGCTCTCCGACACCCCGAAGTATCGACGGGGAAAGTCCTCAAAGTCCAATCGTTTGTTACGACACCGAATGCTATCGTGGCAGAATTTGAGAAGCAGACTGGGTCAAAGTGGACGGTCGACCATACACCAAATCAGAAGCTTCGCGAGATGGAGAATGAAAAGTGGAATGCTAACGATCCGATTGCAACGCTGTACACGCTGAAACGAATATGGGCTGAAGGCGGTACACTATATGACAAGACTGATAACGAGATATTGGGTCTTACATCGGGAGATATGGAACCATTGAGCGCTGTGGTAGAGAGGGCTATCAGCGGGAAAGGATATTGAGGTCCGTTCTGCATGGGTGTAAAGTATTCTTATATTTGCCCATGGTTAGCCATCTTATAGATATTTCCTAGGTACCTAGTTATAGATATTTCCTAGGTAGTTATAGATATTCTATAGATGACTTAAACACGGTGGGATAAATAACACATCATTCATTCATATATTAGGTACCTAGGTAGGTATATTAAAAAATATACGTCTCTCTCAGTTGTCAAGGTTGTGGTTGCAGGTTTGCATGTTAAGAGTGTTATCTTAATACTTCACTTACACCAGCCTGACCTATACATACAACTCAAAGAGACAAATCGTATAAACTGATATATAGGTATGTAATGAAGAAGATATTCGATTCTAGATGTAATAGACATAAGCCGTGATTAAGTTAAGTACCTCCGAGGTATCTGTATGTCTAGGTAGGTAGATTCCACATTGGATGCCATATATTTTATCATGATGAAAGTCGGAATGCCCCGCTGAAAACAATTAACAAGCTTATCGATAAAAAATCAGTCATCGAAAAAAAAGAAAAAAAAATTTACGGTTCAGAGTCCCTTGCAATCCCATGCCGGCGCATTTCAACTAGCTCAATCAACTTTGATTTTTTTCACCTTTTTAATCCTACCATAATAATTATAACCAATTCTGAATTCCGAATTCAGCTTCTGCTCACGCCAGCTCCCTCACCCCCTGCGCAATGGCAGACAACGCAGCTTCAACACTCACGTCGCCGCCCGACAAGAAACTCAAGTCGCATAAGAAACATAAACGACATCGTGAAGCCGATGGTACCGAGGGCAACGAGCGAAAGCACAAGAAATCCAAAAGCAGCAGCAATGCTCCTGCTCCAGAACCAGAAGATCCAATCCAGATAGAGGCCAAGTTGCCTGACGCGCTTATACCAGAGACCGAAGCAAACGGCAACGACAGCAAAGCAGGAAAGAAGAAGAAGAGGCCAAGACATAAGGATAGGGATCAAACTACAGACAAGACAGATGAGCACCAAATGGCGCAAAATGGCGCAATGGACGGAAGCACCTCCAAAAAGGACAAGAAAAAGTCAAAGGAACATAAGAAGAAACATGACAAGATCAATGTGGAGTCGTCAGTCATTCCAGATAGTCAACCAGTTCCAGCAATACAGGACCAAGAGACAGAGGATCCCGAACCGGATTCTATGGACATCGACTCGGTTCCAGCCGAGACTTCTAATTCTGACGAATTCGGACAAAAGCCAGCGGCCAGTGAATACCCCTTCTTCACACAGACCGTTTCACAGTACCTCCCTCTATTTCCATCAGGTTTAATCGAGCCGATAGAAGGTTTTGCGGACCAGCATCTGAGACCTTTGCTCAATCGTTACGTTCCAAGCTTTCGTGGTGTTCTACTAGCTTATCGAAACCCCCGTATCGGAGAGGCACCAGGTAGGGGGTCACTGACTGAAGAAAGCAAGGCGAAGGACACCGTCCTACTTGAGTCCATCAACGAATATGCGGTAGCTTTCGGGTGGCTGACGGTCGACGTGGACCTGTTCCGTCCGTCTCGAGGCGCGTCCATGGAAGGTATAGTGAATCTACAAGGCGAGGGCCATATCGGAGTCGTCTGCTGGGATATGTTCAATGCTTCTATCGAAGCGGCGCGATTGCCTCATGGCTGGCGCTGGGTTGATTTGCTGTCCAAAGACAAAGATAAAGGCAAAGACAGAGGCAAGGGCAAGAAAGCCGACAGGGAGAAGACAGCCGAGGAAGCCAAACTCCCGACACCCGAACCCTTTGACAACCCCGACGACGATACTACTCAGATGCATACTACCGGTTACTGGGTAAATGAGACCGGGAAGAGAATACGAGGAGGGGCTAAGATCTACTTCCGGATCAAGCATTACGAAGTTGGTATCAGCGGCGATTACGGATACCTAAGTATCGAAGGTACGATGTTGGCCGAGGAAGAAGAGAAGGCTAAGAATGCCGAGGAGATGGAGGTCTTAAGACGACGCAGGCTGAAGCACGGCGGCGTATTACGGAAAGAGCAGAAGCGCTTGCCTGAATTCAGCATGACCAAGTTCGGTGTGAATGAAACCGAAGACAACGAGGCTCAGCGTGCCCCTATACAATGGGTACCGAGTCGTCCGGGAAGTGACACCGAATAGGTAAACCATAAATACATGTATAATCTTTCTCGGACGTTTCGGAGTAGGCGAATACTGGCGTAACTAGGTCGGCCGAAGATTATCGAAACTGCGGCTAATATCGATATGGTTATGAAAAGAGACGTAGTTGACTAGGTCGGCGTGGACAATAAAAGGGTCAAATTGTGGTCAACGTGAAGTTGGAATCTGAAAGAAGGGGAAATGCTTCAACCAATACCAAGTTTTCGGTGTGCAGCGTTTTCGCTTGTCTATTAAGCAAACCTCTTATTAGGTATAACTCTAGGTTAGGCCAACACAACTTCATTAGTATGCCAGCATACTATTCCCGTGTTAAGAATATTCGACATGGTAGAAAAACACATCAGAAGATATCTAAGTTTTCAACGGATGAAGAGATAAAGTAGAAGAAAAAAAGGTTGGTGACAATCGTAATTCAACCAAGTCATTAGAGGATTAATGTTGATTGGCCGATAGCGAAACCAAGAGGATTGAGATTACTAACCCCTCTAAGATGAAATCTAAGGTGAGATATATTGCGTCGCATAATTGTAACTACTCTGGTATCTACCTGACCTTAGATAGATATTCATAATGGTCTCTTCGTTTCCGCAGTTTCGCCTCCTCCCCGCCGAGCTTCGTTATAAGATATGGCGTCTTGCTATACCGCATCGCTTTGTCCCAGCGAGGTTAAAGTTAGACCTGGATGCTTGGAATGCCGCAACAGAATCAGATTGGGTGCAGGTTCACTACCGCATCATCTATGACGAAAGAATGCCGCCTCTCCCTCGTCTAGCCCTGGTTAACCACGAGGCGCGGCAAGAGATAATAAAGAGCTATAAACCGCTTCAGATTAGTAGGGATACCGTAAGACGGTCCTTAGGAACCCAATCGGTGGATGAAATGGCTCTCGGTATTATGTGTAGCAGCTCTAGAATCACGCAGTTCAACGTGGAGAGCGACGTGCTCGAATGGGCGGAACCACGACGTTGGAGTACCGGTACTCGAGAGCTACCGTATCCAATTTTTCTAGCAGCTTGCTTGTCAGTGAGACATGTCAGCATAGAATACGACCTCTCGATGCATACGCAGCTGGAGACTCTGGCTTTGGCTGTTCTGGACCAAGACCAACAACTTGAGACGCTAACCATTGGTCTCAACGTCGAGTTACGCTCTGGGAAATTGGACTCCCAGTTTCGACTGGCGAGAAGTCCACCAGGTCTTAGCTTATTCTTCCTCGACAAATTCGTAGAGTGGAAGGATGTTGATGACATCCTATCGCAATATTCGACTTGTCTCCTCTACAGAACCAGCCCGGACGACTCCATACAAGGCTTACATCCTCTGATCAACGAGACCCTAACAAAAGGATACTCGCCCGCTCAAATGCCCCTAGCGCCCGGAACACGCCTAGACACGCGATTCTCCATCTACGAAGTACTCCGGCCAGGAAAACTAAAAGATGAAGGATCCTCACTCTCGCTAGACTGGGCCTACCAGCAAGGGTCGAAAGTGTTCATCTCGGACCGCTTTGATAACAGACACGTACGTGCAGATTATACCCTTTTGTTATGGATGACCATTTTGGTTGTACCCTTTTCCCTCCTGCAACTTAAAAAGAGGATGAGTAGGTACATAGCTAATTCTATTTTAATCTAGTTCTGGTATTACGAAGGTATACAGGTGGATATTCTCCTATGGCTCCAACGGCTGAGAGATGTCAATGATGGTCATAACTTAATGATTCCTTGCCATGGGTTTTGCGTGCCTGATTATGGGCTGCCATAGCCTTACGAATTATAGATAGAGTTCTTATATTCCGTACAGGTATGTAAATGAGTATCGCTTAAGGTAGTTGCATCGTTTTTGAATGTTGGGAACTTGGAAGTCATAGACCAACTGTTATAAGGTTTGTTGCGTTAGGTGCATGGTACCTAAATTAAACTGTCGTCCTACGTGTATCTGCATGTACTTATGTACCTCTACCTGCTATCTCCGTACGGAATACGTACCTTAGGTACATACATAAAAGGTAGGCACATCCACATGCCTAAACATTCAATGAAGCTGCGCATGTACATGTAATACATAAACCTGTCATAAACTTGCAGGATCATGTGGTTGGCATTTTATATTCCAACATGAATCAATTGAGAACTTCCTCCTCGATTCTATATTTCATTCCAATACCTATATCTATTCTAATCTATCATTCTATCTAATTTAGCTTAGGTAGTTACTAAATTAGAATAGGTTTCAACATTAGAAATGGCGTCGTCCTCCGGGCTACGACAGTGCATCAGAGATGTCTCGCCGTATCTTATCCTCTTAGTCGTCATTAGCACCCTCGGCCCGCTACAGTTCGGTTTTCATCTTGTCAGTCACACCACTTGGTTGTTATTTTTTTTGTCACTAATGTTAGCTAACCACACATCCTACCAACTTCTAGGCCGAGCTTAATGCACCTCAAGATGTCATCTCCTGTCGGGTCAGGCAGCAGTCCGTGTCGCGATTCCCCGCCGCCCTATCCTTCATGTCATCGTCGTCCCCGAACAATGATCAAGCGACTGTTTCCTCTGCACTACCCGATTGTGTACCTATGGATGATGCTCAGTTCGCCGTCGTATCGAGTATGTTTACACTCGGCGGTCTGGCCGGTGCTCTCGGGAGTGGTCCCATCGCCTCCGCTAAGGGCCGCCTTGTGGCCATGAGGCTGACCAGCCTGTTCTACATTGTCGGCTCTATCATCGAGACTCTCGGTGCTTCCATTGCTATGCTAGCCGTTGGCCGTATCTTCTCGGGTGTCGGTGCCGGTGCCGCCACTGTCATCGTGCCCATTTATATCAGCGAGGTAGCACCTCCCCGCGAACGTGGTACTTTCGGCGCCATGACACAGGTCAGCATTAATGTTGGTATACTGGTTACACAAACTATGGGATACTTTTTGAGCTATGGCTCCGCATGGCGATGGATACTGGGCTCCGGTATCCTTATCGCCGCTGTCCAGGGCTTCGGCTTGTTACTAATACCAGAAAGCCCGGTTTGGCTGGCGGCAAATGAAAGTGCTGCCCAGGCGAGGCGTATATTACAAAGGATCCGAGGACAACATTACGATATCGGGGAGGAGACTTCTACGTGGGGGGACTCTGCAGTGATCCCAGAGGAAGAGGGACTTCTCAACGATCCTTCTGGCGGCCCTCGGAGAGGATCGACCTCGAGCAAAGCCAGCGTTAAGAACAATGGGACTCTCGGCTTCATGGAAGTAGTAAAAGACCCCTTATACCGTCCCGCTCTTATTGCAGCCGTCGGTGTCATGTGCGCACAACAATTGTGCGGTATCAATTCCATCATCATGTACTCAGTGTCGCTTCTCCGAGATCTCCTACCGATTAACTCGGCGTTGTTGACGATCATAATATCAGCCATCAATCTCATCACGACCGTTGCATGTTCGCCGCTGCCGGATAAGTTCGGAAGAAAAACCTGTCTCCTCCTTTCGATTTTCGGGCAGGGTGCGAGCGCGCTCGTGCTGGCCTTGTCTATTTTATTCGAGACCAAGATCCTCTCAGCAATTATGGTTCTTTTCTTCGTAGCCTTTTTTGCTGTTGGACTCGGACCGGTACCGTTCATTCTTGCCTCTGAGCTAGTTGGGCAAGAAGCGGTCGGTGCGACTCAGTCCTGTTGTCTGGGTGCAAACTATATTGCTACGTTTTTAGTGGCCCAGTTCTTCCCGATTATCAACGTCGCTCTGAACGAGCGATTTGGAGGTGCCGGCTGGGTCTACTTCATATTTACCGCCTTAGCCGTCTTATGTGGGTTATTTGTGCTGTGGCGCGTACCAGAGACTAAGGGGAAGAGGGATGCGAACGAAGTCTGGGGCCGAACACGGCGGATTGATTAGAATGGGCTACGGGGTCTTATTTACACGCATAAACAAACATATAGCAGTTACATGATGAAATTGGCAGATCTATTTTTTTATATCATGGCTTTCCAGGCAAGAAGCCTTTGATATTTGATTGTATGCTCGAGTTGCATTATAGCAGCTCTGATGCCGTCTACAACATGTAGTTGAGAGTAGGCAAATTCCTCTCCCTTTTCTTCGTTGGCAGCCTCTCGGATGATGTCCTCCAACCCGGCCATTCCCGCGCATCCCATAACGACGCAACGAACGCGACCCTTAGAAAGAAGCCGCTTAGTCGCTTCTTTGAGCTTCTGCCTCACTATGGAGGGATCAACGCCGAGGTGGAAGTCAGAGGCATTCAGGCCGGTAGATTCAACTCCGGCAAATTTTGAATTCTCGGTACCGGGGCTTCTTGTCTCTGCACCGAGGAAATTTCCCACACCCGTGGCTAAGTGTTCCTCCCAGAATTTGCCTGTGGTGATGATACCCCATGCCTCGCCGTATGCAAGCACTGATAAGGCTGCTAGGATACTGGCCTCGAAAATTCCAGTGACGACGTTGGGGCATTCTGTATGGTCATGCTGCATGGCTGATACGAGCGGGTGTACGCTATAGCACGCTATCACGACCCCGTCGTAATCCACACCGTTAGGATAAGAGGTCTCTAAGTCCTTGAGCACAGCTGTAGTGCTCTCTTCGAGGTCCTTCCCGTCGTTGATACTTGCGGGCGCGCCTTCAGGGCCCGTGTACGTGTGAATTTCGGTGGACTGCAGTTAATATCAAGGTGAGTTTTAGGCCTTGTCATCTGTTTCTCGGTGGCTTTGCAAAACTCGAGGGATAAGGGAGTAGGGTGAATCATAAGAGGTCTAGAGAGGTGATCGGGTCATGTGTTAACGCACATATGGTAAATCTATAGAGCCGATGACGGTGTTCATGCCGTCAGTCATAGCCTCAGAGGAGTTGGGATTTAAGACCAAGATCTTGGTCGTTTTCCCTCGAACAAGTTGGGTGCCCATGATTGCTGATTTTGGTTTCGTTCTCAGGGCAGAAATAGTTGAATAAATTTCATACGAAGATAGGAAAATACCTGGGTAGTTGTTGATATGTAACGAAACCCCCCCCAATGTAAGCTAATCTAGCTGAAGCTTATTTATTACCAACCATAGCTTTATTCCCATATCCGCTCGCACATTAGACACGGCCAAGGGCTAGGCATTCACTTATATACACTTATATGTATATGGATTCTACAGTTGGATTGACTCGTGGCTCATCTTCTGCGGGGCGAAGGTTGTAATAAGTGAGGGGTATCACCTGACAAGAGCTACCTAACTTTAGTGCATTCAAGGAAGTTCCCGGTAGCTTTAGGTACTTCATACTTTTACGTAATGAGCTTAGCTTAAACTTATTATGGGCCCGTATAGGGATTCCTCAGCCACATAGCCAACGTCAGACCGTCTCGGCCTCAGCCTCAGATTGAACTTGGGTTTCGCAAGGTTCACGCCCGTTAAATGGAAGGTAACCTGGTACTTAACATCAACTGACGAACGCCTCACCTCCAAAACTAAACCCCCGCCACCGAAGCTGCAAGCAGCCTCGCTTACAGCTGGCGAGCACGGCTTAACGTCATTCTACTTCTACATCTTCATTCCTTTTAGACGTTGCCGAAAGGTTTTGTCGAAAATATGGCAGCTCCTCCTCCCATCGGTTAGTAACATTATGGCTCTTCCTGTCTGCTGCACCAAGTTAGCTCGAGCTACCCCTATGCCTAACATACTACACTAGTTCTCGATGGAGGCACCGGTTTCCTAAAGGTCGGATACGCCGCACAAAACTTCCCCGAATTCCAATATCCCTCTATCATCGGCCGACCCATCTTACGAACGGAGGAGAAGAACAGTGACAATGATATCGTCCTTAAGGATATCATGTGCGGTGACGAGGCGGCGGCTGCACGGACCATGCTCCAAGTCTCCTATCCCATGGAGAACGGTATCGTGAAGAAATGGGACGATATGCAGCACCTCTGGGATTACACATTCTACGAGAAGATGAAGATTGATCCCAAAGGACGCAAGATCTTGCTTACCGAACCCCCTATGAACCCCCTGAAGAACCGGGAACAGATGTGCGAGGTCATGTTCGAGCGCTACGGTTTCGGGGGTGTCTACGTCGCCATCCAAGCCGTGCTAGCCTTGTATGCTCAAGGTAAATACTCAACCTCCCAATGTCTTGAAAGTTTCGACTTAACATAAGCTAGGTCTGAGCTCCGGTGTCGTCGTCGATTCCGGTGACGGAGTTACACATATCGTTCCCGTTTACGAGTCAGTCGTGCTCAATCATCTCACTCGGAGACTTGACGTGGCCGGGCGAGACGTAACACGCAATCTCATTGCCCTGCTTCTACGACGAGGGTATGCGCTCAACCGAACGGCCGACTTCGAGACTGTGCGTCAGATTAAAGAGAAGCTGTGCTATGTTTCGTACGATCTAGAATTGGATAAGCGTCTTAGCGAGGATACAACGGTGCTAGTAGAGAGCTACACACTACCTGACGGGCGAGTAATCCGAGTAGGTAGCGAGCGGTTTGAAGCTCCCGAGTGTCTGTTCCAGCCTCACTTGGTAGATTGTGAACAGCCGGGTATCGCCGAGTTCCTATTCAACACCATCCAGGCTGCCGATGTTGATGTGCGCTCCTCTCTTTTCAAAGCGATCGTCTTGTCTGGTGGCAGCAGCATGTATCCAGGTCTCCCGTCGCGGTTGGAGAAGGAGCTGAAGCAATTATGGCTCACGCGTGTACTTGGCGGCAACCCTGAAAGGCTAAACAAGTTCAAGGTGAGGATAGAGGACCCTCCTCGCCGACGGCACATGGTTTTCTTGGGCGGAGCAGTGCTGGCCAACATCATGGCCGACAAAGAGAGTATGTGGATCACGCAACAAGAATGGGCTGAGCAAGGGCCGAGGATTCTAGAGAAGCTAGGGCCGCGATAGAGCCTGACAAGTCCATTTAACCAACAGTCGAGGGGGAGTTCAGAGTACCATGCCCGTGGAGTTTATGAAGTTGTAGCAAAATGACTTAAAATGGCCTTAAGTGAATTAGCCCAAGGCGACATTTGATCTTTTTATTTCATGCAATGCAATTCAAATTACACACAGCCTCTAGAGTGAGGGCATAGGTCTAGTTTACGTGTTCAAAACACAAGTATATGCAACTAGGTACTATTCCCGATCATAAGCTATAGGTACCTAAACATACCTATGTACCTAAGATACATATAGAAGGTTGGTGTTGTAGGTACCTAGGTAGGTATTGGATACCAGGGGTGACTGCGCCACGAGAGCACTAGCCACATTCGGCGTCCGGGGTCAAACTGCTACCTAATCTTCAACCTCCGGCTACCTAAGGTTTACGGACGGAAACAACTAACCTAGGCTCAATAGTAAGAAGCTGCGAAATAACAGAAAGCGCCACCTTCCCAGCTATCATAATTGTTTTTTTAGCTTCACATATTTTCCAAATCTCAATTTATACCTATATACATACCTAGGTAGCTGCGTATTTCCTTTTATCATATTCTTTATTGAATTAGTTTTAAGCCGCTCGAATTCTCGTTCAACGTTAGCTTTTAGTCATGTGGATTATTGATTATTGATTGTTGATTATTGACGAATTGCGATAACATCTAAAATAACTACGACAAACGGCTACCCGACGGAAACATATGTGACGCCCCATCATCCTCGTCATCTCCGTTATTTTCAGTCAGAATCCTATCGGTATCCGAGACGCCCCGACTCCTTTGGAATTTTAGAGTCCCAACCAATACGAGGATATCTCGTGGCCGAAAAGAGACACGCAGAGGCGCACAGGCGCTCAAGAGCATATAAGATAACCCACGGCTGAGTGAGCCAATACGTAGTGGATGAGCAAAGAAAGACCTGTCTCGTCTCACCCGACGCTGCCGGAAGACCCGCCGGGTGCGCGCTTGATCGGTTTGTTTTTTTCTTGTCTGAATCTGTATTGCCGTATCTGTATCTGAGTCCAAATCTGGATCTCTGGTCAGATCGGGATCTGATCCATTCAACACACGAGTACAAGCATCATAGTACCACGACACCATAGCACCACAGCACCACAGATAAATCATGAGTCTCACCAATCCCTCTTCGGGTGCAGCGTCAGGTCCGGCGTCAACTTCTACGAGAAACCAAACCCTTAAAAGAAGCGTACAGGCCGCTTTCGAAGGTATGCAGCCCAACAAATCTCTTCTTGTTAACTGTGTCTTTTTCTGTTTGGTTACTTTTCGTTTGTCGACCGCTTGCTCGCATTCGCCCACCATTTTCTACTTACTCCTTTCGGTTATAAAATCTCACAACATCTAAGTCGCCCCTTGATTGGTGGCCTTCGGACTTTATTCGACCTTGGCACAATGTTGCGCCGCTGACAATTTCCCCCTATCAAAAAGCTGTCTTCACGGTCTTAATTCTTATTTTGTTTTCTTCACTTCTTTCTTTCCTTTCCTTCCATCCAGAGAAGCACCGTGTATCATGGTGCTCGGGAAAGGCTTTAACAATCCTCTGCTGTACCGTCGAACACAACCACGGGAGGACAATAAAGTGTCCCACGGCCCTATAAACGTGGGCTTTCCTCTTACCGAGTCTATAGAGCCTAGACCGATGCATCCTTTAATGACCACTTTTCAACCACATACTTCACCATTTCGTAGTCAATGTATTATAGCTACTTTATTCATCCTCTCGCTATCGTGGAAACCCCTATAAAGTTGGTAATTAGCTAATCCGTATATAGACCCTATCGATAGAGGCGGCAATGTGGGTTATCAGTCTAAAGTCAGAGTTGTCGACAAGTATAAAGTCATCGGCTTCATCAGTAGTGGAACCTATGGCCGGGTATACAAGGCTGTCAGCCGGCAAGGTCAGCCGGGCGAGTTTGCTATCAAGAAGTTCAAACCTGACAAGGAAGGGGAGCAGATACAGTATTCAGGTATATCACAATCAGCCGTGCGCGAGATGGCACTTTGTTCAGAACTTAGCCACGAGAACGTCATCCGCCTAGTGGAGATCATATTAGAGGATAAGTGTATATTTATGGTGTTCGAATATGCCGAGCATGATCTCTTACAGATCATCCACCACCATACCCAGCAACCGCGCCATAGCATTCCTCCCTCCACGGTGAAAAGCATCATGTTCCAGCTGCTAAATGGGTGCCAGTATCTACACAGCAACTGGGTTCTTCATCGAGATCTTAAGCCTGCCAACATCATGGTAACCTCAAGCGGGCAAGTCAAAATCGGCGATTTAGGGCTGGCCCGACTATTTCACAAGCCACTACATTCTCTATGGAGCGGCGACAAGGTAGTCGTGACGATATGGTATCGTGCTCCTGAATTGCTGCTGGGTAGTCGACACTACACGCCGGCAATAGACATGTGGGCGGTTGGTTGTATTTTCGCTGAGTTGCTATCGTTGCGACCTATCTTCAAAGGGGAGGAAGCTAAGATGGATAAGAAAACGGTGCCTTTCCAACGTAACCAGATGCAGAAGATTGTTGACATTATGGGTATGCCTACTAAGGAGCGCTGGCCCTACCTATCGAGTATGCCTGAGTACAACAACCTGAGCATGTTACAGCCGCCTATGCTACATCCGGGTCATCACCACCATCATCACCATCACAGCAAATCAGCAGCATCGACAAGTCACCTCGAGAAATGGTACTACAGTACCATCGGTGCACACTCGTCGACCTCATCCCCTAACTCCAACGGCAGCCTCGCGGCCCTCGGAGCTGAGGGCTACAAACTGCTTTCGGGTCTACTAGAGTACGACCCTGAGCGGCGGCTTACAGCAGCACAGGCGCTACAGCACCCGTTCTTCCAAGCAACACCGTCGGGCGGTGGCACCGGCGTGACGGCAGGCTGCTTCGAGGGTCTCAAGGTGGCGTACCCGCAACGTCGCGTCAGCCAGGACGACAATGATATCCGCACCGCCAGCCTACCTGGTACTAAGCGCTCGGGTTTACCCGACGATAGCATCGTCAGGCCAGTAAAGAGGGTAAAGGAGGCTTAGGAGGCTTGGAAAGCTCAGTGGAAGGCTGAGTATATTCAGAAGCTTAGGGAAGTCAAGCAGGCTAGGTTGGCTAAAACAGCTAAAACAGCTTAGCCTAGGCATGGTGTTGCCCAGGAAAGAAGTCAGTTTCATTGTGCTGTTCGGTTCAAGAGCACGATAGGCGGGCCGATGAAGGTCTAGGTCGGATGAGATGCCCATGCCACAGGCTACTTGTATTAATTTGCCGTTTGTGGAGGGGCGACTTGGAGTTTAGTTTCAAACATGACGGAGTAACGGTGGTCCTGGTTGGGACTGGGTACTGCATTGACATTGTTATTGGCGCACATCATCAGACAGGTTACGTATAAATGTTTCAAGAATGGAATATGAGAATAATTGAGATCATGCTATTTGATATGCAGTATATATTGCTTGTCTGTTGACTGCTCGCTCTCATAGTTGGTATAGGTCATCATTAATAGATTAATCTACGTTCCATCTTCGCAAAACGACCTGGGCTACAAAAATCACAATATACTTGAGTGAACAACACGGTTTTTTTCTCAATCTGATATATTTTCATTGCTCGATTCCGAAGCGAAAGTAATAGGTAACCACGTCCGCTCCTCAAACAATTAGGAACCGAAACCGCCAGTATTATAAGATTACTATACGACAAGGCACAAGTAGCACCAACCCCCCCCCTGCCGCCCCTTTACAAATTAACTAACGCGGGATGACGCGGATATCCCTGTCCTTTCCTTTACTATGCTCTCCATCCCTTTAGACCGTGTTCGCCTAGTATACCGCCCTGATTCGTATCGTGAAAAAAAAAAAGAAGACTCCGAGGTGTGACGGATGGATTCGTGACGTGATTGATAGACTAAAAACATGTGCTTCCAACGCCGAGGGGATCGGGTATATATATTATCCACTTTGCCCGGCTCCGATATGTATTTACCATTGCATACTCGAGCCTCATACAAAGTAGGGACTATGACGACCTGTCGCAACACGGGCTTGGTCTCGCCTCTTTTCATTCCTCCCCGCACTCACTCGCAACTGACTGGAACTGCAGACGGAGCTGTATATATACGGTACGGTAAGAAAATGCTTCTCGCTCCACTACACTTGGGCTGGGATCGCCTTCCAAAGGGCCAAAACTGAATTCGCACACTAGACCCTGAACTATACGAAGCATCTTCATTGTACCGCGCCAAAAACATTCTAGCCCGAACCAATTTCATCGAGTTATTAGAGCCGTATAAGACCATGCGAGCCCAGAGACCATTGAGGTTTTCTCGTCATGCCCATCTCCGGCCAAGTTGTAGGGAGGTAGTCGTTCTAAATCAAAGAAAATCAAGGGTATCAAAGGAACAGTGAACTAGAACTAGAAGCCCTACTTCTTGGCCGGCGCAGGGGGCGCCTTGACGTTGTTTGACAGCCACGCCAACCCCTCGAGCAGACCCTCGCCCGTCGTGGCACAACTAGGCACTACGTACCAGATCTTATCCTTAAGCTTGGACAGCTGGAGTGCCTCAGTTACTTCTTGTGGTTTCATGGCTGTAGGCGTGGTTAGCGGACTCCTCTTCAATGTCAAGGGAGTGAGAAGAGATTAGTAGTTACTCACCATCTTTGATATCTTGCTTGTTTGCGAATACCAGAAGCAAGCTATCCTTCATCTCCCTGTCGTTGATAATGCGATGTAATTCTTGTCTCGCCTCCTCCATCCGCGTGCGGTCGGCAGAGTCGATTACGAAGATTAGACCTTGGGTTCCTATCCGTGCATTACACCGTTAGCATATGCTCGAGCTATTACGTCCGTATCCGCGATTATCTACGAAACCATCTGTAAAGAAATTTCACGGAGGCCCCTGCGGACTAAAATAATACCAGGAATACCCAGAGGAGATTCCAGATCCAAAATACGACCCTAGTTCACAACTGACAAATCACTTACCGCTGAAGTAATGTCTCCATAAGGGACGAATCTTGTCCTGACCACCAACATCCCAGACGTTGAACTTGACGTTCTTGTACGTGACCGTCTCGACATTGAAGCCGACGGTAGGGATAGTAGTAACGTCCTGACCCAACTTGAGCTTGTATAATATTGTCGTTTTTCCAGCAGCGTCAAGTCCCAACATCAACAATCTCATCTCTTTAGATCCAAAGATCTTGCCCATCATCTTAGAAAGTTGGCCCCCCATCTTGAGTATTATCGATCGCGGTCAAGATATTAGTTAAATTCTACTGAAGAGAACAGGTTCTGTCGATAATATATGTCGCCTTGTTTGCGGGAGCGTGAAGCCGTATACAGAATCGATTTGCGTTTAGCGCGCTCGACTAGGGTTGAGATGGCGTTTTACGTCGTCGAGTTCGTTAATGTGAGAGTCGAAAGGGAAGAGGAGGAGAAGGATAGGTAGAACGGTGATTGGTAGCGCGAGACGCGTCTCTATTGGTTATCTATACTCTTTTGGAGATCCAATTGATCGAATCACGACAGTATTTCGTAACAATTCAGCCTATCGGTTGAAGGACCTATGAAGGGCCTAAAGAAGGGGGGGTCCGTGAGGTGAAAGATGCCGATAGGAGGGTTGTCGTGTTGTCGTGTTGTCGTATTGTGGTATTGTGGTATTGTCGTAGATGGTAGAGGTTACCGTATGAGGAATGATTAAAAATAGGTAAAATTACACATCCGAGATTGGAGATTGACACATGCACAACGAGGGAGTTTAGTGGAGGATGGGAAAATTAAAGAGAAAGACAGAGCATTGACAAGAAAAGAAAAAATAGTTGTTCGTGTCGATTCTCAAATTGGAAGAGAGGTACGGTAGGTAATGAAACATTAAAATGCGCCAGGGTCCAGGTCATTATCAAAATGGTTCAATTTCCGCTACTTTTAAGGGGAAAACTTACACTACCTGAACCTCACTACCGTAATACCGTTATCAGTTACTCGTTACTTCATACAAGCTAGCGTGCCACGCTAAAAACACGATAGCTTCCCAATTTGGTTAGATAAAATTTGATATACCAGTTGTGGATATATACTATGTACAATGCCTGGTTACCCCTGCAGGAGCTCATCGCGCAGCCGCGGAAAGGTACGGAGAATTTGTACATCAAACATTGCTTGGACCAATCTTAGCATTAGGTACATGTACATATACATCCAATAGAGCATGCTAGTGCAGTGTATGCTAATGCAATAGTATATTAATAAATCCAAAGTACCTAATAGCAAGCAAGTCAAAAAGGGGCACATGCCGGGTAGCTATCTTATATTTGGGAGCTATCAAAAGGGGGTTCGTCTTCGATATAAGCCTTAGTTGGCAGTGTTAAGAAATAGGATAATAAAATAAAACTGGTTACCTAGTTTTTACAACTGATAAAAGATTCAGCTTACAAAAGTCTAAAGAATATAAGCACAAAAAGTAGCTAAGAAGCATGTAATATGTATAAATTCAGTAATTGCTTTTAGGATATGTCTAGTTTAGGTATGGGACAAATGGAGAAGTAGAGGCCTCCGAAGATGAAATAAGAGTTGGCAATAATAACCCATCCTCCTATATCAACAATTAAGTAGGTAGCTATAGCTGTGCCCCATTACTGTGGTCTTCAACTTCGCAAAAGGCCTTAAACGTTGTGAACGAGTCATCTTGACCTCCTTGGGATTCTAGAATTAACCCCGCCGTGGCGCCAACGAAGAAGACATACCCTTCCTTAATCTCTTCGGTCTTTGGACCAACCGTTATTTTGCCCTTGCCCCCCGTGCAGATAACAATGCTTGGTCCATCGATAGGATCAAAGGTTGCCTTGGATCCCTCACCATTGAGTACCGACCTGATGACGCTAAACTCTTCGATCGGCGGGTCGTATAGGGTTGCCTCTGAGCCCGAGCTGTATGCGGTGCGGTTAAGCACTACGTACGGGTACTCTGTTGGCGACATCTTCTGCTCCTCGATGGGAGCATAATTGTATGTCAATAGATCGACCAGCGTCTGAACGTCCTTAAACTTGGGCGTAAATCCAGCTCGCACAACATTGTCGCTTGCTGCCATACACTCGATGATATCACCCGACACATACGCATGAATATCGTCCGCTTTCAGGAAAAGGGCTTCGCCTGGGGAAAGCCTGATATAATTGAGGAAGAACAAGACGAAGAGACCGATATCATCAGGGAACTGCTTATTCAGTCGAACCACCAACTCGGACATAACTGCTCCGCTGGTAGATTCGGTTCCGCCATCTGCAAATTCGCTTCCTCTGCTCTCGGCGTCCGAGACGAGTAACTTGGCAGCTGACGCTACATCTTCTTGTGAAGACTTCATAAGAGCGGCAAATGCAGATTGGAGGGCTCTCTTGTTCTGCGTAGTAGACTCGGATGAATCGTCGCTCTCCTGTCCTCGAACCGTGGCGATAAATGCCTTTGCGGCATCTTCTCCGACTAGCTGTCGTAGAGCTGGCACGGAGGATAGAAAGTGAGCAATTTCGCCAAGCGGGCGGAATCCACACAGACCCTCAAAATCGGTTATCGCAATGGCCATTTCGGGTTTGTGGTTGTCGTCTGGGTAGTTCTTGGGGTCTTTTTGATGTAATTGCTCGGCAAGCTTCTTGTTGGGATGGGCTTGGATGGAGAGGGCCTTATTTATAGAGAGCACCTTGAATAGGAAGGGTAATTTGGAACCATATCTCGCCTTAACGGAGGGGGCGAGAAGCATCTGGTTCCCTTCGACAAGCTCGAGCAAGGTGCGGCCGGATTCGAGGTCCTTAGATGGGTTAGAAGGGTGAGTTCCCATCCATAGCTACAAGCGCAAAGTCCTTCGTGTTAGCTATTAGATTGCGTAGGGTTTAGTAGCAGATAGAAGACGCACCTCAGCGTATGGCTTATCTGACTGAATGTTCAAGTTATCGGAGGGTGTCGCAGCGGCGAACTTAGCTGCGGCAGATTCAGATCCAATCTTGCCCCAATCGTAGGAGTTCACTCCGCATTGGAGTCGTATAAGAGGGACGGGTAGCACCATTGTCGATGATGGCTCGGATTTTTCAGCGGTATAGGTGGTAGGTGGTCGGTGGTAGGTGGTAGTTCATAGAGAATTATTTGAGGTCGTGCAGGGTTGGGATATGTGGTGATTATAAGGTTAGGTATATTATAAGGTAAGTACCTAAGGTACCTTACTTTAAGAATCTTAGGTTACTTTAGGTATACTTATAAGGTTAAGAGGTATGCAAGGTTACCATAGCAGCAAAAGGTGGTTTTAAGAAACAGTTATCGAATATAAAAATTATTTTATATTTAAAAATTATTTTTTAATAAATAATTATTATTAGTTAAAAAATATTTACTTGTTTAATTTATATAAAAAGGTATAAATATTAAATATAATATTTATATTAACAATTATTTATATTTAAATAATATATTTTAAAATTTTAAAAATTAAATAATAATAATATATATTATAATTATTTAAAAATTTAAATAAATAATATATTTTATAAATATTTAATATTTTAAATTTATTTTTTTATTATTATTTATATATTTAAATATTTAATCTTTTATTATTGTTTATATATTTTATTTAAACTTTTGTTATTATTTATATATTTTATTTAAACTTTTATTATAATTAATAAAAATTTTAATTATAAATAATTATTTATTAAATATATATAAAAGTTATAAGATATTTTTACAAATATATTATTTAATATATTATTAAATATGTTAAATTTTAATAAAATATAATTAAAATTATTATAATTAATATTATAGTTAAAGTTTTAATTAATATTATTAATTAAGTTTATTATAAATTTGGTTAATTTAAATATAATATATTTTAAAAACGTAAATTTTATTTTAATATTTAAATGGTTATAATTTTTATAATTAAAATATAATTAAAATTTTTTAATAAATTGCTTATTTTTTTTAAAAAAATTATTATTATTTAATAAATAATTATTAGTATTATAAATAAAATTAAAATTATTATTGTTATAATTATTGTTATATTTTTATTTTAATTGTTTTATGCGTAGCGAATAAATTAATTTATTGTATTTATAAATAAGATAATTATTTATATTTTATTTTATTTATTTGGTGCGTAATAAATAAATTATTTTAAAATAATTGTTAATATTATTTTATTTTATTTAATTATAATTTCGTTTTTACTTAATAAAAAATTAATAAATATTAATTATTTTAGTAAATAATTAAGTAAAGTTAATTTAAATAAATATTTTTTTTTTATATTTTTTTATTTTATTATTAAATATAATAGGTTTATAAATAATATATTTTGTTTTATTATTAATATGTTTAATAGCGGTATTGGCAAATATTATAATAACGTTATTAATAAATATAACTTAAGTAAATTAAGTAAAAAAAAATTTTATAAAAGTATAAAAAAATGATAAATAGCGTTGGTTTTAGTATAAAATAATAGTTTTTATATTATTATTATTAATTTTTTTAAGGAAATTAAAAATATGCGTAATTAGGTAATATTAATTTTTTTATTTTAAATTAGTTTTTGAAAATAAAATAATTTTATTTTAGTTGTAATAAAAATGGAAATTATTGCGAAATTATATTTTATTTAATAAATAAATTTTTATATTTTATATTTATTTGTAATTAAAATAAATGCGTATATTATTTATTTATAATTAATTATTAATAAATTTAAATATAATATATATATTTTAAATAAAATTATGTGTTTTAATAATATAGTAAAATTTTTTACGCGGGTTAAATATAATGGAAACGTTAATATTAATAAAAGGAATTTATTGATTTTTTAAAAAAGTTTATGGTTTTAATAATTTATTAAGAATAGGAAATATTTAATTGGCGAATTTAAAGATAATTAGGTATAGGGAATTTATTAATAGTTAACAATAAAAATAATAGAAAAAAAATTAAAAATTAATTTTATTTATATTTAAATATGTGAAAATAGTAATGTTTTAATAGTATAATATTGTTTATAATTTTTAACTGGAGATTATTTGTTTTGGGAAATTTGGTAAAATATAAACCGATAAAATTAAATTTATACTTTTTTATTAAGTTTTATATATTTTTATAAAATAAATAATAGGTATAATATAATAAAATATATTATAAATTATTTAAATTAATTATATTAAAAAATAAAAGCGGTAGTAACGGGATATAATTTAGATAATAAATTTTTATTATTTTTTTTAATTGTTAACGGTTTTTTTTAATAAAAAAGGTTATAAAATTAATGATTGGTTTTAATTTTATGTTAATTATAACAGGTTAATAAAATATATTATATATATATATTTTTAAAATGTTATAAATGTATGGTTATTAAATGTAATTATTATATTATTATTAATAAAAATAAAGTAATAAAAAGTAATGGTATAAAATGCGGTTAAGTTTATATTTTTAATTGGTTAAATTTTTAAATTTATTTATGGTTTAAATGTAAATGTTATTTTTTTTTACTTTTTTTATTAATTATAATGTAAAAAAAAAAAAAAAAAATATTTTTTATATTTTAATGTTAAAATTTAATAATTAATTATTTTATAAATTTATAATATTTATTAAAAAAGTTTGTTAATTATATTATTTTATATTTAATATAAGAAATATAATATAAAAATTGTTTTTATATTAAATAAAAAAAAAAAAGAAAAAAAGATTAATGTATGTTAATGGTAATTAGTTTAATTAATTTTTTATAGCGTTAAATTGTTTAATTTTAAAAATTATTAATAATTTTTTTATTATTTTTTTATTAGTATATAAGTTAATATTTTGGTAATTTATAATATTATTTTAATTAAATTAATTTTTATATTTAAAAAGTTATAAAAGTTATTTTAAAAATTGTTTTAATAAATGTTATAATAAATAAAATGTTAAAAAATTTATAATTAAAATATATGTTTATAATTAATTAAAATTTTATTTTTTTTGATTTTATAAATTAAATTAATTTATGGTTAAAAAGGTTAAATAAAGTTTTAATTAAATAAAAATATATTGTTATAAAAATAAATATTAATTTTAATTTAAATAATTATAGGTATAATTGGTTTATATTTAATATTATTAAATTTATAATTAAGTTTTTTTTGGTTAAATTTATTTTTGGGTAGTTTATTGCCGGATAGTTTGTTATTAAGTAATTTACTGTTAAGTAATTTATTTTTAAATATATTATTTATAATATAATTATTTAATTATAAATTAATAAGTACGCTTTTAATGGGTTTATTTTTAATAAATTTATTTATATTAACAATATTTTTATTAAATTTAATAATAATATATTTATTTTTATTAAATAATATAAAATTTAATATATTAAGTTAATTATTATATGGTATATTAATATATATATTAAATGAAAAAGTGTTAAAAAACGGAGGTAAAAGTAAATTATTAAATTTAAAACGTTAAAAATATTAAGATTTTTATGGTTTAAATATTTATTTATAAATTAATATATTTTAAATATTTTAAAATAAAGTTTATATAAAGTTATTTAATTTAATATTTTTAAATTTTTTAATTTTATAAATTAATTTAAATATTTTGTAAATATTAACGTATTTATTTAAATTAATATTTTATTTAAATTTTATTACCGGTTATTTAAAATTTTATTTAATATTTAAATTAAAAATAATTTTTATTTTAATAAATTTATATAATTTATTATTAAATAAATAAAATATATATTAAAAATATTAAAAAAAAAGTTATATTTTATTAATAAAAATCTTTTAATAATTAATAATAAATATAATTTAAAAATTATAAATATATTTAAATATATTAGAATTTAATTTTTTTTTAATTTATTAACAAAATAATAAAAAATTTATTTTTTGCAATTTTATTTTAATTAAATAATTATTTATAAAATTATTAATATATTTTTTTTTATATTAATATATTTTAAATATTAAAATTAGTAAATTTATATAAAAATTTTTAAATAAAAATTTATATTTTATAGTTTAAAATAATTTTATAATATAATTAAATAATTTTTTAAATTAAAATAACAATAAATTTAACTTTAAATATTAATTTTAAATAAATTAAACAATAATATCGGGGTTATAAAAGGTTAAAAAATATTAATATAATTTTAAATTATAACAAAATTTAATTTAAATTATTTTTAAATTATTATAAAAATAATTTTTATTTATTTATAACTTTTATAAGTATTAAAAGTTATTAATTAACAATATTATTACAATATTAGCTCGGATTAAAAAAAAGAATTTATTAAAATATATTTTAATAAAAATTTACGTTTTTTTTAAATTTATATTATTAATATAATTTTTATTTTATTTATTATAAACCAAAGATTAAGTAATTATAAATAAAAGAAATATTTATTAATAAATTAAAATATATTTAATAAAATTAAACTTAATTTATTTTTTTAATATAATAGGAGTAAATTGTCTTTTTATAATAATAAAAGTAAATTATTTAACATTAAGTCTTTTATTTATAAAATTAATTAACAGTTAAATTTAAATTAATATATTAAACAAATAAAGTAGGTATATAATTAATAAAATTTATATTTAACTTATAATAAATATATAAATTAATTTTTAATAATATAAAACAGTTAATATAATATATATTAATTATAATAAATTATTAATATTAAAAAAAAATAAAAATAAATTATTTAAAAAAAATATAAAATAAATAATACAAAAAAATAAAGAAAAAAATTAAAGGTTTTAAAAAATAACTATTAATAACAATAACATTTATTATATTAATTTACTTTATAAATAAAATATATATCAATATTATTTAATATATTTAATTTAAATTAAAAAAATTTCTAATTTAAATAAATATATAACATTATAAAAAAATTTATTATAATATTATATACAATTACTTTTAACTTTATTACTTTTTTATTAATAACAATATTTATTTTTAAATATTCACTTTTTTTTTTTTATAACAATTTTATTATTTATTTATACCATTAATTTTTTTTATAAATAATAATATTAACGTTTAAACGCTTTTTTTATTTTTTTTACAATATTTTTATAACAAATTTATATTATATATAAAATATGCAAAAAAAAGAATAATTTTTATTTAAAATCATAATAATTTCAAAATTTATTAAACAAATAATTTTATTTTATACATATTAAAAAAAATAATAGCCAATT